ATTACTTAAAGAGAATCGAGTCCTTTTTATTTGACCAAACATCATCATTTGTTTTGTTCTTTCCTCGATAATTATGACTCATTTGATGCCCAGATATTAGGACTTAAAAATATTAAATGTAATTATCTTATTTTTAATAAAAAAAATGTATTACTTTTAAGTAGTATTAAAGGTTAAAGGAAATTAATTTTTACTCCTCAGCTATTTTGTTAGGGTGTCCTAAGTTATTAGTTAATCAGAAAAATTACAGAGAACGCCTCAGAAAATTACAAATATGTACACTATGGGAAAAATTAATTCCAATTAGGTCTCAGAACTTATAAATAAATGTTAAGGGACTAATTTATTTCTTACCGTTATAAATTAAAAGACCAAAATATCATTTTATCCAACTATTTTAATTATCTATCACAATTGTAACAATACTGATAAGCACTTAAAAATGTTATATTTTTTGTAATAATATTTCATTAAAATATAAATAATTTAATATTTAATAATTTAAATATTATTATTTACAAATCTCATATAAAATTTACAATTGAACTTTTAAGATTCACGAATACTCCAAAATGTACAACTTAACTAGTCTATCTATAATTTATAAGTGAATGGAAATTAACTGTAAATTTATGAATGAGGAGTTATAAATTTTAAAGGAAGGTTTATAAATTATCACATTATTTTAATTTATTTTTCAATTAACGTGAAAAAACACATTTATTTATAAACTCCTAAATACACTAGTTGATGAGTTGTAAATTTCTAAATGAGAAAAATTATTTTTTCACGCTATTTTAATTTACAACATAGTATGAAAAATACATTCACATATGAATCTCATATACACTAGTAGTTTTGGAGAAAAATTTATAAATCATCACACATTAACTTATAAATAACATGTATATTAATATTAGCTAAGTTGTAAATTTTCGAAGGATTCGTAAATCTCAAAAGTTGACTTATAAATTGCATCTGAAATCATCTGACCATGAAAATAATATATATTTAATGGAGGGGTAATATTATACTCTTTTCAATACTTTAATAGTAATATTGCATTGTTTGATAGTTGAGGATATCCAGTGCTTATGAAAGGATAGTTTAAGGCTAAAAATGCCTTTTAACCGTGGTATTAAAAAAATATATTAAATATTATCCATCTTTTTCACATTACAAAAATATATTATTTCTTATAAATCAAGTCAAGGACTCCTACTTTGTGGATATAAAAATCAATTTGACAGTGATACCTCCAACAAACCTACTAGATAGTACTGCTAGTATCAAATGAAAGTATAAAACATTATTGTAAAATTATTATTAAATAAGTATGATAAACATATAATGAAGGTTACCTATGTTGTTATTTCACATTTATATAAACAAATTTCTATTATGACATGGGAGTTAAAAATCGCCGCACCCGCACATCCATGAGAAATTTCAAAGTTTCGGCACCTCTTTGGGCAAAATTATTTAATTAGAGTGATCATTTTTATTGAAAAGGTATAATATGAAGGGGAAATTCCATTTCAAGTCCCTTGAACTAACGAAATCAAAAAATTAGGTTGGTAAATTCAATAATTTTCTAATTAGATCATAGGCCCAGTGTAGGATTCCAAAATGTGGATAAAATGACTTTACCGCCCTCTCCTTCCTCTCCTCTTCTGTCTGGTTATTTCCCCTTCCTTTCTCTTTCTATATTGCGTCCTCTCTCTCCCAGAACAATCTCAGCTAGTCAGCTCCATTAATTCCTGCCCACCAAGTGAAATCTCCCGCTGCTTGAATACAAAAGAGGCCTTCTATAAGGATTGTTTTTCGTTTGTTAATATTTTTGGTTATTAGGTCAAACTGAAGTTTATCCTTTATAGTTTCTTCTTCAATAATGCTATGCATCTATAAGTGGCGTCACGTGCAAGTTCAAATTAGATAATTAGCAAGAAAAGTATTGCCAAAAACTTGCATACTTAAACTATATCTCATAGGGAGAATTAGAGATAAGAATCAATAGGGAATAATATTTATGAAAGAGGATTATAAAATTAAAATTATTTAAAAGGACCAAATATTTAAATATAAATTTAAAAATAATATATTATTCCTATTCAAACCTCTTACATTTTCTACTATGTTTCCTCCTATGTTTTATTTTTAAAATTAATGTGAATTAATAATTAATAAATTTTACTAAATTAAACCTGGAGCACTGTTCATCTAAAAATTATAATTTTATTTTCTTTATAAAAATTAAAATTTTTTTTAAAATCATCACAGACTTTAATTTTGAATGTAAAAGATATATAATTTTACTAAAATTTAGATTATTATATCATTTATTATATAAAAAATTTTAAAAAAAATCAAAGAAAATGATTTCTTTAAATTTCTTAACATTACATGAATTTTTTATTATATAATTAGGTGGCTTTTGTTAAATGATTTTGAGAAGGGGTCATATTAAATTATAATGAATTATCTGAATTCTTTAAATTTCTCAAAATTACATGTATTTTTTATTTTTAAATCTGATATAAATTTCTTATAAAATAAAAAATAAGTTATACAAATTTTCTTTGAATTTTTAAAATCATGTATATGATAAATTACATAATAATCTAAATTTTAATAAAATATAAATCTGTGAAGGTTTTAAAAAATAAATTTTTAATTTTTAATAAAGAAAAGAAAAATTTAGTTTTTAGATGAATTAACAATGTTTGCAAATTTATTAAATTGATTTTTACGTAGGTTGTAAACGTTGAGAGAAAGCAGATTTAATTTAGTAAAATTCGTTAATTTGAATTAGTTTTTTAAAAAAAATATAGGAGAAAATATATAAGAAAATGTAGGAGATTTGGATTGGGATAATATGGTATTTTTAAATTTATATTTGAATACTTAGTGCTTTTAAATAATATTAATGGTTATAATCCTCTCCTATAAATATCACTTCTCTCTAATTCTCCCCATCTTATAACTCAATTATAAGAATTCATATTTTATAGATGAATTTATAAATGGACGTTTACATCTTAACAACTAATAATAATAGCAAAATAACAAGGGTTCATATAAAAAATTTATAAATTCTAATTTAGGTGATAAGAGCATGCACCAAAATTTACACGGTTTCATATGTTAATTTGTCTAATAAATATATATAAGTAATCTGAACTAAGTTTTATTCTCTTAAAAATATATCAGGGATCTAAATTGACGCAAACTATTATTTATAAAAATATTGTTATAAATAAAAAAATTCACATTTAGAAAAAATCATTACAGTCAATCCGATAATCATCACAGCCAAAGTGGATAATTTTTTTTTTTAAAAGCTCCTCACTAATTTTTAAAAGGGAAAACCATTTTATAAGGAATTATATTTTATTCAATTTTTAATTTGATACATATATTTTTTATTAAATCCTATAACTTTATTTCGCTAACGGCAGCGTTAATCCCTGTATATAGGGGTTAACACTACTAATTGAACAAAAGTTTAGGGTTAACAATTTTAATGGAACAAAATTGATTGATTTAACAAAGAGAAAATCCAAAAAAATACCTGTAAAATTTTAAAATTTTAAATCATGAATGATACAAAAATGTGTCCTAATTTATTTTTCAAATACTATCAATTGTTATTAAAGTGTAGTAAACAAGACTGCTTAAAATTTTGAAATTCAAAAATATTTTTTTAGATTCCCCTTTTAATAAAAGGCATAGATCAGATATCAAATCAAAAATTAAAAACTGCAAATAAAAAATCATATAAGTATTTGCAAGAGTGTCTTAATGCTTGGTCAGATTCCTCCCCTCACCTTATCATTGATTAATATTTTAGTTTTAAAATGTTTTATAAGAAGGCAGCTTTCCTTCAAACTTTTCCTTTTATAGCCCCTCATCTTAGTACTTACTCCTCTATTTCGTTCTGACCCATTTACCAAATATAGAACGCCAGAAAAAGAAGTGCCTTGCCAAAGTTACAGCATTATCAGTAGTGGCCCCAGCCCCACAAACACAATAATTCACCGTGTAGGAAAATGGGCCAGTCCACCCTTGGTGGATTGGGCCCAAGCCCATTAAATTTGGGGCTCTAATGCAAATAACATAACCTGTGGGTCTTAAATAGTTATTTGCAATTTTTCCTTCAGAATATGGATAAGGACAGACGGGCGGTGTTTTATTTTTCAGAGAGATAGGATCAGTTTAAAATAATGATTCATTCCAACCGGTTAACACCTTCCCGCCTGCGTACCTCTTCTCCTCTCCTCTCCAACGCAAAGTGCATTTGCTGTGAACGTTGATTCCTATTCATTACTGTGATCGGAATTCCGCGCGTGGCTACCTAATCTGAGATACTCGGCACTTCAGGTATGCCCGAAACCATTACACCGAATTGAAATCTCAACCTCAAAATGCTCATATTTGCAATGTCGTTTTGGCAACACATGCCCTTCAATCAATCCCTTGATTAAGAACTCAATTATATTATTATTATATGGAATCAGATTTAAAAGCCCTTGTGTGGCTTACATTTTTTCTGTCCATTTCAAATTTAAATTAAAGTTCAAACCTTTAAGAATGGATTATCTGAACTATTTCCCGACAATCGCCCCCCAACCACCTCGTAATTAACAGGCACTCCATCTTTTTGTCAACATTTAATTATTCGAGTGCGTTTTCTCCATTGACAAATTGACGGGATGGCTATATTCTATTCTCTTTTATTTAAAATCACAAAACTAGTTATTATGCGTCAATGAAAGATAAAGAAAATGAGAAGTGAGAGGATGAAGCAAACTCGATAGGGCTATAACCATTAACCATAATGGAAATTTACAGTACTATCCTTCCTGTGTTGCTTGATTAAGCCACTTCATACTCTGGCACGGCTTGCCAACCCGAAGCCGCGATGAGGGGTCGGCTATGCCAACCCAAAGTCAGACATCCTTCGTTCTCTTCCACGCAATAACCTTCAGCTGAGAACAGAGTCAAGAGCATGCTGGCCGAGCTAACTCAGCGAGTCGCAGACCAATTTCACGGAGACTGTCTCGGCCGTCCGGAGACGGCGGGCCAATGCCCGTCAACCTCAGTAAGGGGGGCCCACCGGAACGGAGGGCCAAAGCTTGAATCAAGGCCGGCCACTGGAGGCCGTGCATGAGGTTGAAGTCGATGACATGGACGTAATCCTGGCCGTTGAAAGCTTCCAGGATGGCTTGATTAGCCGTGAAGTGAGCGAACTTGAGGTAAGGACAAGCCTCGTAATAGTGATGGTACAAAACCTCGTCCTCATAAGGCGAGCCGGTGCAGGAGGAACCAGTGCCGGTGGTCCGTGGCTTGAAGATCCGGCGGCTCAGGGCGTCGATGAAACATCCGGCGACTTTTCCTATGCCACAGCTGGTGTTCACATGCGCCAACAAACCCTGCATGTCCTCGATAAGCGAGCCGGCAATAGCTAGCTCGCCACGTTGAAGAGAATCCGCACAGGTCATCAACATGTGGACCAGCCTTATCCCGGAGTTCTCTTCCATCGATGTCACCATCGTCAATTGCTGAAATTGCTGCTGCTGAGGAGTGAAGCTATGAGGGCTCTGATCATTCTGAGCCACAACCCAGCAATTATCGACCGTCGTTTCTTCAAGCAACGGATAATTTGGGAGATCCGGCAATTCCAACAGATCACACGGCAGAGAAACGGTCTGGTTCAATTCAGTGAGCAGAGTGTCAACCCAAGAGCCGATATCGGAGGGGTCGTAGTGTACAGTATCGGAAGCGAGTTGAGAAATGTCAGCCGCGGAGTTGACCATTACATTCTCGAGCCGCTCGAGACGTCGAGCAACTTGATGGAGCTCCGACGACTTGACTTTGTATCCCCCCAGCTAGGAGGCCGTCCATCTCCGTCGGCTTGGTTCCAGAGCTGGAGGAGCTACCATTGGAGGAGGCGGCGCCGGCTGCTGATGGTTCATAGGACCCCATGAAACGAGAGAAAGCAAAACTTAGTTCAAACAAAATTTATCTACTAACCCACGAGTCGAATTGGAATTTCCGTGCGATTCGTTGATCATGGCGGGGCAATTAAGAGACAGAGAAAGAGAGAGATAGGATTTTTTGTGTGTGAGCAGGTATTGGAGTGAAAAGTGACTGATGAAAAAAGAGGAACCGGGGGAGGGGGGAGAGAGAGAGAGAGAGAGAGAGGGATTCTGATTTGAGAGAAAGAGAGAGATGAAGAAAAAGCGAAGGGGAGTGACAAGTATAATGTAGCTACCATTGGAGGAGGCGGCGCCGGCTGCTGATGGTTCATAGGACCCCATGAAACGAGAGAAAGCAAAACTTAGTTCAAACAAAATATCTACTAACCCACGAGTCGAATTGGAATTTCCGTGCGATTCGTTGATCATGGCGGGGCAATTAAGAGACAGAGAAAGAGAGAGATAGGATTTTTGTGTGTGAGCAGGTATTGGGAGTGAAAAGTGACTGATGAAAAAAGAGGAAACCGGGGGGAGGGGGGGGAGAGAGAGAGAGAGAGAGAGGGATTCTGATTTGTGAGAGAAAGAGAGAGATGAAGAAAAAGCGAAGGGGAGTGACAAGTATAATGTATGACAATGAGGTGTAGCTATCTATGAAATTGATAGACAGATATAAGAGATAGTATATAAACTCTACTTTTCCCACAGGTACCCTATTCTAAGGGGTAATGCCCCCTCCATGTTTTACCCCTTCACAGATCTCGAATTGACTCTGGAACGACTAGGCAACCTAAGCCATAAAAGTAGGACCTCTACCCTACATTGCTGCTACTCCTCTCTTGGGATTTGGGAGGTACCCTCCCCTAAACAAGTGGTATAATCTGCCCCAAACTGGGTCTACCCACAAGTGGGACGATTCTGTGCTCAGCTCAGCTCAGCTCAGGAGTACCACCAAATATATATATATATATATATTCTGTAAAATTACAGTGAATTACTGCGGTTCCCCTGACTCAGTCTCATTAGAATACCCATTTCCCCTCTTACCCTGCTGTTAAAACCCACTTCCCCCAAAAAAAACCCAGTAATTACCCATCATCATTGAGGTTTATACACGGTAAATATCATATTTTCCATTGTGTTTTGTTAAAAACCTCTGACGACCAATCTTGGTTTCACTTGTGGGTTTTTGTTTCTTAATATATATAGCAGACTGCGTGCAGGTGGTGAAAAACTGTAGTTCAGAACCTCCCTGCACCAAATATGGCATGAGCCTTTTTATTTAAATAAAGCTCACAGTACCAGGACAGATCATTTTAGTGTCTTCCAGAGGTTGAAGGGTCGTTTTTAGAGTTTCCTAGTTTCCGCCATTATCTAATCCCTAAAGCTCATTTTCTGTGACACACTAATTGCAGAATGATGACCCATTTTGGTGCTCCAAAATTGAAACATGGTCACTGTCGTTAAAAACTCGTAATCATCTTGCAGTCTTAGTTAAGAAGCGTGCAGGTATCTCTAACCCCGTTCCTCTGAACCACCGTTCCCCCCCCCCCCCCTTGAGCTTAAATGTGCAAGAGATCTGTATTAAGTTGTCACTGTCCTTTGTATTTATTCCTGTCCCCAATTAATTATCTTCATCTAAAAAGGCTTGTAAAGTTAAAATATTGCTCCTTTGTGTAATCAACCTGTGTATGGCTTCTGATGGAAAGTCTTGAAGAACGCACTCATTTTTTGCTTGTCTTTTCCTTGATTATGCTCAGCTAATAATTTACATGCTTTCTGCCATGCACATATATATTCACACACACACACACGTAAAAAAAATCTCTCTTTTTAATGGCCTTGATCAAACTTTTCTCCAATCTTACCGGTCAATGACTTTATCTAATGTGCGGGTTTTGTGTCACTTTAATTGCTTAATCTTTGGCTATATGATTTGGAGAAATAATACATGGAAAAATTACGCACAGGTCCCAAGGATAAGACTTTATTTATGTAAGGTCTCACAAAATGTCAAAATTACTAGCAGGTTCAAAGGAACCTTAGAGTATTATATTCTAATTGTAAAATGACATCACTGTCCTCAGATTTCCAATTCACATTTTCTCTATCATTGAGATTGACAACCTCAGCAGTGACTATTAACAACCCATGAGAAAGTGTTGACAACCTAAACAATACCTTGATAACTTATTTTATAGGATCACATAACCTCCACATAAGAGTAAATTATAACCAAATAGTATAATATAACAACTTTAACACTGAAATGGGAAGCTTTTCAAAACATTAAGAACTTTAGCTAAACCCAATAGGATATAACAAAATTTAATGTAGATCTATTGACAACCTCAACAGTGAGTATTAATAATCTAAGGAGAGCTATTGACAACCTAGGCAGTGTCTGTTGACAACTGACTTTATAGGATAATATGACCTCTAACAACTATAACTAACTAAATTATAACTAAATAGTGTTAAAGTTAATCTTATGTAATTGTTATGTTATACTATTTAGTTATAATTTGATCTTATATAGAGGTTATATTGTCTTATAAAATCAGTCGTTAACAGACACTGCTTTGGTTGTCAACAGCTCTCTTTGGGTTATTAATACTCACCGTTAAGGTTGTCAATGGATCTCCACATTAAAATTTTGCTATAATCTTGTTGTGTTTAGCTAAAGTTCTTAATGGTTTCGAAAAGCTTCCCATTTCAGTGTTAAAGTTGTTGTATTATATTATGTGGTTATAATTTACTCTTATGTAAAGGTTATGTGATACTATAAAATAAGTTGTCAGCAGATACTGTTTAGATTGTTAATACCTCCTTATTTGGTTGTCAATAATCGCTATTGAGGTTGTTAATCGCAATAGTAGAGAAAATGTGAATTGGGAATCTGAGGGGTAATAATGTCATTTTATAATTAAAATATAATACTTTAAGGTCTCTTGAGATCTACTAGTAATTTTGACCTTTCGTGATACTTTAGGTGAATAAAATCTCTTTCTTGAGACTTGTACGTAATTTTCCTATAATATATATTTGGTTAATTATGAGAGGGCTTGATGTTAGGTACCTCACAAAAAAGTACAGCATTTTTCTTATAATGGGATGATGTCATACGGATTTAGAATTCCTCTCAGAGACATGTGTCATACAGAGACATCTACAGGTATAATTGCTGCTGTAATCAATAATAAATTTCTGAAGCCAACATATTGGTGGGATTAAGAAGGGGTATATGCTATTTGAGAAATCCTATATGTATCTCTCTCTTTTTTCTTTTGATAAGATATATGTATCTCTATCTCTCTTTCTCTCTGACAAGAACGTAGAGATTCAGGGAATATACAGAAAGGAATTGAGAAAGGAATTGATCTTGTTTATTAACCCGATGAGTCAATTTTCAAACATAGGGTGTGCTCAGATTCTAACGACTGAACCTTTGAGGGCCTCAAGATGACAACGTGCTTTGGTATTGTTCACAATGGCCCAAGCGCTAATTCAAGTGTTTATTCTCTTGCATCCTATGAACCATAAAAGTTTAGGGTTAAAATATCGAACAATTATTTTTGAGAGAGAGAGAGAGAGAGATCCATCGAGTTTTGGGGTTGAAAGGCCATATGAGAAGAGAAATATATATTTGAGTCCTGTGTGTATATTATAACATTCATCCTATATTTACAAGCAACTCACAATGAATTAGTCTCTCATAATGAGACAGAATCAATGCTCAAATTGTCATTGAGAGAGATGTGCCCATATTTAATACTAAATAATGTTTCGAATAAGATTGTTTCCAAAACAGAATACCTAAGTAGAATACCTGTGTGTAGCAAAAAAAAATCTTATATTCACAAGAATGAATAAACTATAGTTACTATGCCATTCCAGATTTGTGAAAAGTCATTCCAGGAACAGCCGATGATGGACGTGGTCCACAGAATTGAAAGGGGGCAAAAAAAGAACTAGGGACCATTTCCAGAGCCCCAAACGCTCAAAACCAGAGACAGGAGTACTAAATAAAGAAAATAAAAATAGGTGGGAAAATTAAAAACTGGGGAATGAGGAAAACGAACAAAAAGATTATTAAAAAAAAGAAAGAAAAAGAAAAGAATGAGAGGAGAAATGGTGAAGAAGTGGTCCTATCATGGGAGAGATGAAAATGTCATGGGACCATATGGTACATGGAAGAAAACGAAAGCGTCCCATCGGCTCGGTGCTTATAATGATATTTGAGTGGAATCCTTTAACATATTGTATGAAAATTTAAGTTAAATAAATTATTCAAATGTAATATACATTTTTTATTAAAAAATTAGACGAGTCAGATTTTATCAAAATCAGAACATACCTCAAGAATTAAGAGAACGCTTAAAGGATGCCTTTGGATCATCTACCAGTAAGATCCCAAATTAATGATGAGATTCAAATCCATGTTTTACTAAGATAAAGGTAAAATTATAACATTCAAAATACATTGAAATTTCAAGTGTTCTTGTTTAATTTTGATGGTAAAAAATGTACTCATTTCTAAAATGAGCCTCCATATTCAAAACGTCACAATGTAAAACTTAATTATACAATGTGTATCCTATACCATATTAACTATAAATATCATTGTGCTCATCTTAATTTGAACCATCTAAATTGATCTTGGATGGTTCAAATTGAATTTAAATTTGTTATATTTTAATTAATTCTTCATTCTAATAGATAGATAATTCAAAATAAAGATAGTATTATAACTAACACTTCTTTAAAAAATAAATTTATCATTGAAAAAAATTATATATTAAGAATTTTAATTCTAAACCGCCCATATCAAATTTTGGATAGTTTAAATTGTATTATAGTGATGAGCACTGAATAAGCATCGGATCCTAACTGAAAGGAAGCTCTCTAAATTAGACTACTTTTTATTTTAAATATATGATTTAGTTTGCAACTGAATTTGCATTACGAATTAAATCTCATATTTAGAACCAAAGGTAGTAGCTCTTTCCATTTGTAACAGCATGCATACGATATAATTTATAGGGGCCCATTTCAGTGCTCATCATAATGATAAGTACTATAATGCCCATCAAAACTCAACTATTCAATTCTAATATAGACAGTC